ATAAAAAAACCATTCAACAATATCCATACTTACGTGTAGGCCAGCAAGTTTGTAATTCTCATTATATGATTATTGTTAAAAATGGATATACTGAATATAAAAGTGCATCTGTTCCAAATTCATCGACTAAATTGTTATTTGGTAATCGTGTTAAAAAAATGACATCCGTTCTATATAAAAATAAACAAAACGGTCTTGTCCTCAATCCATATGAATTTGATAAAATGCTTAAAAATGGAGATTCTAATTTAAGAGGCTTTTTTGCTGAAATGTGTGATATATTAGTACTATATGACCGTTCAGCTTACAACAGAAATGAGGATTAAAAAAAAGTCGTAGTAATTTTGCACTTAATGACTGGATTGCGTAACAAACATGCTAACAGTTTTAAGTTAGAACTTGCCTTGTTTCTTGCGGGATCTGGAACAACATGTAATGCAATCAACACGTTAAGTAATGCCAGTATCTCAGCTACCTATAAGACTGTATATAACTATAAAAAAAAAGTTGCGGATAAGCATTTAGCACAGGTAAAAAAATACTTTACTGATAATAAAAATCATCTTTGTATATATAATTTAGATGATTACCATAATATCCATGAAAACCGCTGTCTAAATAACACTTTTTTATCAGAAGCTGCTTATCTGGCAACAAGTGTGTGTAAAAAAGTTGAAAGGTCAGGTCTGGTGCCAATTATATTTAATAGTGTATCGGTTCATAATCCAAATAATATAGAGGCTCTACTTATCTGCAAAAAACTCATAGATCAGTACTAAAAATGCTTCGACCTTTCATATTCATAGCGAAAAGCCCAATAGACTAATTCAAATTTATTTGAATTTGATAGGATTGATCAACTTACAATACATACCTATGATAATGCCATTGTAGAACGAAAAGAAGAACGCAGAATGAAAGATGCAATTTTAGTAGGAATACAAGAACAGCAACTTCATTCTGTACAAGATTATCTTAAGGCGCTAAATATGATTTTAAATTATAATAAGGAAATAGGTTGCCTTACCAATAATGTAGCGCCAATTGTTGCTGATTGGCCGGGCCAACT